GTTTATTTGGATGTAGTCGGCAGAGAAGGTGCTGGGAGCAAGTGGACATTGTCTGTAGACAGCAGTGTGCTTTAGAGGCCAGGAAGGCTGGGTATATTTGTGAATCCGGGATGTGAGAGGCACAGATTGCACATTCATGGTCTTCTTTCAAGCCTTTCCAAATGCTCAGGCTGCTCTTTCCGCCATGACCTTGGGTTTGCCTTGATTTCCCAAATGCACACATTGAAGGCCACTCGAGTCTCTATCTCTATCTAGATCACTGACATTTGGTCAGTCCACTTCATTGCAATGGGCAAAGAAAGACAGACTGTTCACCACCATTAAAATAGATCTTGGGGTTTGAAAGATCTTAGTGGTCACCTGATCTGACTTGGTGCATGATAAATCCCCAGTCAGTGGTGGTTGTGTGAACACCTCCAGGTGGACCCCACATAGCTCATATGATTGTGGGGCAGCTCTAATTCTTCCTGGTGAACTAAGAATCTACCTTCCATTAATTCCCAGTGACTAGCCTTTGTTCTGCCTCCAAAGCCATACATAAGGCCACATATAAGTCTTGAGACATGTGACGGATTTTGAAGTGTTTGAAAGGCACTTATTATGTTCTGCCCAAGTCTTCTCATCTTTTGCTCTGGTCCTAAGCAAAGAGGAAGCGAGTATTAATGAGTCCTGCATCCTGGTAGAGGAAGGCAAGAGCCTGCAGGGCCGAGAGGAACTTATTATAGAGTGGGTTCTTCTACAATGCATAGGTTCCAAGTCCGCAGCGTAAGTGAACATCTGTGGGTACACCGAAGCATCTCACAATGTCTACTCTCTGGGTTTTTACCATGGGTCACTTATCAGTACTTGTAGATCTGCCAGTGTGGTGGTAGGCACTGAGGATATAACAGTAGACAAGCCTGGCATGGTCCCTGCCCTCATAGAGATCGCAGTCTTGTGGAGGGCGCAAACAAGCGAAAAAAAATCCAAGGGCATTGATGCTGCAGCCGAACAGACACCATGGTAACATAAACTCAGAAGGCCCTTAATTCAGGTGGCTGGTCAGGCAAGACTTCCCAGGAAGTGACCTTGAAGGATGGGGAAGAGAGAGCCTGGTGAGTAGTGGGGAAAGAGTGTTCCAAAGATGGCTGCTGCAGAGGAAGATGGACCATAAGCAGGGTCCCTCATTTTGCGGTAGAATTGGTAGTGTGCCAAGAGGAGATGAATGGGATTTAGTGGCAAATACAGGGGAGATGCAAGCATCGTGTGGCTTTGGATCACGCGAGAGGTATGACCTGTGAACTGGTGATGGGGATGTGGAATGAGAATCATCCCTCATTTCTTTCTTTTTTTTTTTTTTTTTTGTTGTGAAATTTTTGTTGTACATTATTGTTTATCAGTCACCATATAAGTGCATCCCTCCATCCCTTGTGCCCACCCCCCACCCCCCTAGCCCCTGGTAACCACCAAACAGTTCTATCTGTCCGTGTGTTGGTTTATCTTCCACATATGAGTGAAATCATGCACTGTTTGTCTTTCTCTTTTTGGCTTATTTCACTCAACATAATACCCTCCAGGTCCTTCCATGTTGTTGCAAATGGGACAATTTTGTCTCTTTTTATGGCTGAGTAGTATTCCATGGTATATATATACCACATCTTCTTTATCCAATCATCAGTCGAGGGACACTTGGGTTGCTTCCATGTCTTGGCTGTAGTGAATAATGCTGTGATGAACATAGGGGTGCATAAGCCTCTTTGGATTGTTGATTTCAGGTTCACTGGGCAGATACCCAGTAGTGGGATAGGTGGATCATAAGGTATTTCTATTTTTAATTTTTTGAGGAATCTCCATACTGTTTTCCATAGAGGCTGCACCAGTTTGCATTCCCACCAGCAGTGGATTAGGGTTCCCATTTCTCCACAGCTTCTCCAGCATTTGTTGTTTTTTGTCTTGGTGATTATAGCCATTCTAACGGGTGTAAGATGATGTATCTTAGTGTGGTTTTGATTTTCATTTCCCTGATGATTAGTGATGTTGAGCATCTTTTCATGTGCCTATCGACCATCTGTATATCTTCTTTGGAGAAGTGTCTGTTCATTTCCTCTGCCCATTTTTTGATCAGGTTGTTTGTATTTTTGTTATTCAGTTGTGTGAGTTCTTTATATATTATGGAGATTAATCCCTTGTCAGATATATGGTTTGCAAATATTTTTTCCCAGCTGGTGGGTTCCCCATTCGTTTTGATTCTGGTTTCATTTGCCTTGTAGAAGCTCTTTAATCTGATGAAGTCCCACTTGTTTATTTTTTCTTTTGTTTCCCTTGTCTGAGTAGACATGGAATTCAAAAAGATCCCTTGATGGCTGATGACGAGTAGTGTACTACCTATATTTTCCTCCAGGAGTTTTATAGTTTCAGGTCTCACCTTCAGGTCTTTGATCCATTTTGAGTTAATTTTTGTGTATGGCGAAAGAAGGTGGTCTACTTTCATTCTTTTGCAAGTGGCTGTCCAGTTTTCCCAGCATCATTTATTGAAGAGACTAACCTTTCTCCACGGTATGTCCTTAGCTCCTTTGTCAAAGATTAGCTGCCCGTAGATGAGAGGTTTTATTTCTGGACTTTCAATTCTGTTCCATTGATCTGTGTGTCTGTTTTTGTAACAGTACCATGCTGTTTTAATTACTATCGCTTTGTAGTATGTTTTGAAGTCAGGGCTTGTGATGCCTCCAGCCTTGTTCTTCTTTTTCAGGATTGCTTTAGCTATACGGGGTCTTTTGTTGCCCCATATGAATGTTAGTATTCTTTGTTCTATTTCTGTGAAGAATGTCCTTGGGATTCTGATTGGGATTGCATTGAATCTGTAGATTGCTTTAGGTAGTATGGACATTTTAACTATGTTTATTCTTCCAATCCAAGTACATGGAATATTTTTCCATTTCTTTATGTCATCATTGGTTTCACTCAATAATGTCTTATAGTTTTCATTGTATAGGTCTTTCACTTCCTTGGTTAAATTTACTCCTAGATATTTTATTCTTTTTGTTGCAATTGTAAATGGAATTGTCTTCTTGAGTTCTCTTTCTGTTAGTTTGTTGTTGGTATATAGAAATGCAACTGATTTCTGTAAGTTGATTTTGTACCCTGCCACTTGGCTGTAGTTGTTGATTATTTCTAATAGTTTTCCAATGGATTTTTTAGGGTTTTCTGTATATAAGATCACGTCATCTGCAAACAGTGAGAGTTTCACTTCTTCGTTGCCTATTTGGATTCCTTTTATTCCTTTTTCTTGCCTAATTGCTCTGGCCAGAACCTCCAGTACTGTGTTGAATAAGAGTGGCGAGAGTGGGCACGCTTGTCTTGTCCCTGTTTTCAGAGGGATGGCTTTCAGTTTTTCCCTATTGAATATGATGTTGGCTGTGGGTTTGTCATATATGGCCTTTATTATGTTAAGGTACTTTCCTTCTATACCCATTTTGTTGAGAGTTTTTATTATAAATGGATGTTGGATCTTGTCAAAAGCCTTCTCTGCTTCTATTGAGATGATCATATGGTTTTTATTCCTCTTTTTGTCAATGTGGTGTATCACATTGATTGATTTGCGGATGTTGAACCATCCCTGTGTCCCTGGTATAAATCCCACTTGATCATGGTGTGTGATCTTTCTAATGTATTGCTGTATTTGGTTTGCCAATATTTTGTTGAGGATTTTTGCATCTATGTTCACCAGAGATATTGGTCTGTACTTTTCCTTCTTAGTATTATCCTTGTCAGGCTTTGGCATCAGGGTGATGTTGGCCTCGTAGAATGTGCTAGGAAGTGTTCCATATTCCTCTATTTTTTGGAATAGTTTGAGAAGGATAGGTATTAAGTCTTCTTTGAATGTTTGGTAAAATTCTCCAGAGAAGCCATCTGGTCCTGGACTTTCATTTTTTGGGAGGTTTTTGATTACTGTTTCAATCTCTTTACTTGTGATTGGTCTATTCAGATTCTCTATTTCTTCTTGATTCAGTTTTGGGAAGCTGTATGAGTCTAGGAATTTATCCATTTCTTCTAGATTGTCCAATTTGTTGGCATATAGTTTTTCATAGTATTCTCTTATAATCTTTTGTATTTCTGTGGTATCTGTTGTAATTTCTCCTTTTTTCATTTCTAATTTTATTTATTTGAGCCTTCTCTCTTTTTTTCTTGGTGAGTCTGGCTAAAGGTTTGTCAATTTTGTTTATCTTCTCAAAGAACCAGCTCTTTGTTTCATTGATCCTTTCTACTGTTTTTTTGATTTCAATTTCATTTATTTCTGCTCTGATTTTTATTATTTCCCTCCTTCTGCTGACTTTAGGCTTTGTTTGTTCTTCTTTTTCTAATTCTGTTAGGCGTAGTTTGAGGTTGCTTATTCCTCATTTCTTTCTGATCCAGTTAGGAAGGCACAGCTGAAACCCCACAGCATGCCTGGGCCAAGAATACCAGGTTTGGTTCTAGGGCAAAGAAGCAGGCAGGAAAAACTGTTTGTAGGATTGGGGTGTCAGTGGAACTGGGGAAACTGGTTTAGCTGCGGAGTTTGCATAAATGATGTCATTTAAGGGGAGACAGGAGGGCCTACTCTACAAATCTCTCCCCCACACTGTCTGAACATCTTCACTCCATTGAACTAATGAAAAAGCAGCATTTTGAGATTCGTTTGTGTCAATGAGTTTAGTTGGTGAGAGGGTATTCATCCTCCACCCATTGGTATGAACTTGTAATATCAACTTGTTTCTCTTCTGTTCCCCAGCTAAGATCTGCAGTCCTGAGGGGATGGGAATTTGATAGGAGGAGGTCACTGGGGCTGATTGGGGAGTTCTGCAGGGGCAGGAAGTTAGTTCTACGAAGGCTGGGCACCTGACTCAACAAGAGAGTTGGTGGTGGTGGGGTCAGTGAATCTCAGCGGAAGCCCAGCAACTTCTAGGCAGGGTCCCAGCCTCAGCCCTTCTGGAGACATCTTCTCTGACTCTTCCTTCTCACCTCCCCTTTCCTTCACCCCTCAGCCCCTGATGCCCCCTACACCCACTGGAAGCAGACTGTCTTCTATCTGGAAGATTACCTCACTGTCCGGAGGGGGGAAGAAATCTATGGGACCATATCCATGAAGCCAAATGCCAAAAATGTGGTGAGTGTCGAGGCTGCCTCTGTGTGGGCTGGGGTCAGAGAGAAGAAGGGACCCGTGGAGCTGACTCCTGGGGAGTCCTAGGACCCCCTCGCCCAGGTTCCTCAGTGCCTTGTGCACAATCAAAAGTTACTGGGGGGCAGTAGGAATCCGGGTTTGGATGTGACCGGGCATAATTAAACAACTCCAACCTCGGCTCCTTAAAACTCACAGACTGTCTCTAGGCCCCCTGCAGACTCTTTCAGCCTTGAGGACAGCGTCCAGCTCTTCGTGAGAGGGCCTGGGAGAACGGAGGCTCTTGCCACGGGTTTCACCTCATTTAGGATGAGCTGAGCCAGGCAATGACAGTTTCTGGTGGCCTGGGAGAAGTTTGGTGTACATTTCTTCAGCTGGCCTGGTGGTTTGGAGACCACGGCTTCTTTCTGAGCATCCCCGGGTGTGGGCATGTGCACGAAGGGGCTACAGAATGCATTGGTGGTTATGCCACAGAAGACTCAACCACCCCACTCTTTTCTCCCAGGATGAAATCAGAGGGAACATCTTTATATTTTAACAGGAAGGATTTAGTTTAGAAATGAAAGAACTTCTGGTGAGGACGATGAGGCACCAGGATAGATTCTTGAGAGCTGCTGGTGGGGACTCCTTAGCTAGGAAGCCTGGGAGACACAGCAGCTCCCATCCCTCTGCCATGGTGGGGGCTGCTGCGGAACCTCCACCACACTAACGCTGTGTCCCTCTGCTCCTTCTCTGCAGCGGGACCTTGATTTCACAGTAGACTTGGATTTTAAGGGACAGCTGTGTGAAACATCTGTGTCTAATAACTACAAAATGCGCTAGCACACGTGGATGCTGCAGACAGCGGGAGCAAGGAAGCTCTCCCGGATCTGCGGCACTGTCGCAGGAGTACTGTTTGCAGGACTGCACACTCAGAAACCAGAGTTTTAAATTCTGCCTTCAAGATTGGTGAACTCACCGGGGGTCCTGTGGGTCCTGGCCCTGGATGGAGAGCCCCCAGCTCCCCAGCTCTGCTGTGGGAGCCCTTCACAAAGGCTTTGTTGTGGCCGACAGAGCCAGCTCGAGTGCTGCGGCTGGCCCGAGGGTGGAAGAGTGCACATGTATACCCATCGTCCTCCCCCTACAGGGACCTCCGGATCCCCCGAGTTTTGCATGCTGCGGGCATCTAGGACAGGCTGCTTCACTAGAACCTGGAGACGTAGTGTCTTGATAGCATAAGCCAGATTCCCTGTGTGTGCACCGGCGTGTGTGTGCGCGCGTGAACAGCATAGATGTTAGTTTATTTACCCACAACACCGGTATATGCGTGCATATACAACCAGGTGGGTACACTTCTGTGTTCATTCAGGGGTGTGTATGTACGTGTGTGTGCGTGTGTATGTAGAATACATATTACTCTCGGAGGAGATTCTGTTGCTTTTGAATAGGAGTTTGTTTTGTGATTAGTTCTCCTCTCCCTCGTTCCTTACAGATGTTAAGCAGCTAAGAAACGTTCTCTGTACTAGCTCTGGTCTGCTTTTGACTAGACCGTGGCTCCAAACCCTGAGCATAGTACCATGTACTCTGTGGGCGCTCAATAAATGCACATGAGAGCGAAGCGATGGGACGGCTGCGTTCCTGGTGCTCTGGATGGGGGTGGGGGAGGTGGTGTCGAAGGCTACAATGGGATGGAGGATCAAAGAAGCAGCACCATCACTGCTCCTGCTCCCAGAAGGTAAGCTCCTTGGTGGAACAGCCGTGAAGTTGGGACTGGCCTAAGGGCCTCTCCCCTGCGGACTCGCAGGGGTGGGAAGAGGGTCCTGGAGCTGGGGTGGGGGGACATGAGCTAAGCGAGGATGCTCCAGAATGGGAGGCTGTGGGTAGCCTGGAGGGAGGCCAAGGTCAGGAGCAGGAGAATCTGGGATGTGCCTCCTGCTGGGAGGGGCTGGAGGAAGCAGGAGATGGTGGCTGAGCTTGTAGTCCTGGGTCCCTGGGGAGACACTGGGGCAGGGTCTGGGGGAAAGGCCAGTGGAGGGACGGTCCTTGTCTAGGGGGCGGAGAGTTTGCAGCACTACACAGGGTGTGTGGTGGCGGTCTCCTCCCTGCTCCCTCAGCCCTGGGCCAGTGTCTGGCCTAGTCTCCCACCCTCTGCATCGGCAGGAGCCCACCCATCTTGAGCAGGGCCTTCCCACTGAGCCCACGTGCAAGACACTTGGGTCCTGGGGTGTTACCCCAGGTTCCCACCGCAGCTCCCTTCCCCAGTGTGGCTCATAAAGCTCCAGTGCCCCAACTTCTTCAGCCCTGCCACCTCTAAGATTTTAGGCTCTTGGCTTCGTCATGGAAATGGCAGGGCCAGAAGAGAGAGTCTTGTGGCTGGGAATGATCACTTGAGGAAAAGATGGGCGCCTCTCCTGTAGGCAGGGACCGGGCTGAGCTGCCTGGAAGATTCAATTGCCGAGAAGCATGAGGGCCTGCCTCTCTGGTGTGGGAGAAGGAACAGGGCCAGGTGCCTGGGCCGTGGGGGTCTAGGCCCAGCTCTGCCTTCAATGCGTGGTGGACCTCGGGCAAGTCCCGTCCCCTTCCTGGGCCTCAGCCTCATCACCACTGACAAAGGGGAGCTGGGCTAAGTGGGTATTTTCCACACTGCATCCCGGGGAGCCCCAGGGCTCATGGGGGTTGCCAGGGTCGAGGTGGGCCGAGCTCTGGGTTCCCCTCTCCAGATTCAAACAGAACAATTCTTCCCTTGTCTGTTTTTATTTTCTTTGGGAAAAGGGTTCTACTACTAAAAATAAAAATAAAATAAAGAAATGAACAGGAACCAAGACCAAAACCAAACACCTTTGAAGATGCCGTGTCTAGGTGACCCTGAATCCTCTGGGCCCTAATGCTCCGAGGTCAGCGGGATCTAGGACCCCTCTCCAGCCTGCTGGTCCTGTGTGGTTTCCCCTACAGCACTTTCTGCCGCCCACAAGTAGCCTTTGGGCCTGGCTGGGTGCCCACGACCTGGCCCAGAACCACGTTTTCACTCACCTGCGTCTTTACGTTATCTCCTGCTCCATCAGCTCTGCAATATTCTCTCTGGAACCATCATCCCTCAGAAAGGGGGACAGGCTCTGTGGGCAGATGTGAGGCCTCTTTCTGAATTTTAAAAGGGGCCCCCTCAAGGCACACATGGCTCTGTGGATGCTCTGCTTGGCAGGCAAAATGGATTTCAGTGCCCACTTGCCCCTTGGCCTGGTGCTTTCGTACAGTGTACAAACTGTGCAACAGTACTCAGAGGCCCTGAGGAGAGCTGTCCTGGGCCCCTTGGAGCCCCTGGTTGTTTCCTCTAGCTAGTGAAAGGCTGTCTTGCATTTCAGTTCTGAGCCAATCATGCTTTCCATTAGAGACCGGATAGGGAAACGTCTAGCCTCGGTCCAAGTGCGGTAACAGAATCTCCGTAGGATGGAAACACAATGTACTTTGCAGGCCTGGTGAAGTGTTTTGATTTGGTTTGGTTTTTGGTTATTCTTTAGCTTCCAAGACAGGCAGTCCCATCTGTGTCATCTCCCCTGGGAGAGACAGTCCAGGTGCTGGGAAGGAAGAAGGGCCATTTAGAGGAGTGGGTGGGGCTGACAGGGCCCAGGACGGGGAGGATGCAGAGGAGGCCTTGGCCTGGCTGTGGATGAGGAGTCCACAGCATGGCAGTGCCCTTGAAGATGAGAACTGATGTGAGCGGCCATGGCCCCTACCCTTTCATCAGCTTCTGGCGACTACATACTGTTGGCCTCCGCAGAGTCCGGGGAGTTAGGCGCAGAGGTGCTCTCGTCCTGTTTTGTAGTGAGGCGTGCTGAGACCTGGGAGGAGGCGTGGAGTCATGGCTGAGCTGGGCCGTGGCCCCAAGTCCTCCTCAGCGTGTCCTCTGCTGCCCTTGCTGGTTCCTCTGAACCTCAGGCCTAGGAGGCCTCTCTGTAGCTAGAGACAAAGACAGCAAAAGTCATGTCATGCTTTTGTCCACGTGTATTAGACAAGAAAGATGGAGAAACTTAAGAGGGAACAACAGCAAGTGTGTTAGAAGAGGGAAAGGGGGTGAGGGAGGACACGGGGGCGCTCCCTCAGAGGGCATTCAAGGGGAGCTCATTAGTGAGTTCTCACTGTGGTGGGGGTCAGGGAGCCCATGGATTCTGCCTGTCCTTGGGCAGGGAGCCCATTCAACCTCATGGAAGATTCCATCCATGGTCAACGGGGCAAAACCCTACATTGCCAGGAGCCAACCAGGATGACGACCTCCCGGGAGCTTGGGCATTTGGGGCCTCCAGGCCTCCCTGACCCCCGGGGAGATGGGGAGACCCCTGTAGCCTTTCAGGCCTCTCCAGCCATCAGAGAAGAGGCGCACCCCTGCGGCCTGCCCTGGCCCTGGGTCTTCAAGCCCTGCCACACCATCACCTCTCCATGCACCTGGGCTGCAGGAGTGAAGCCTGGGGGGCACGAAGGAGCAATCCCACAGCAGCCCCTTCCTCCTGCCCATGGGAATGCTCGAGCGGGAACTGTAATTTCCCTTTGATTCAGTGGAAAATCAGCAATATCCGCTTTGAGCGTGTCTGAATAGAAGTCAGTGTATAAGACAAGGTCGCGGCATGACAATAGAGATGCTATAAAGATGACTTCACTTATGAAACCTGGTTTTTCCCTGACTCTTTTTTTTTTGAGACTGTTCAAAATCCATTGGTAACTTTCTCCCCGTCACTCTTTTCCCTCTCTGGGGGACTCCTCCCCTCTGTTCCCAGCCCCGCAGCCGTCGTGCCTCTTTGCTGATCTTATTTGGGCTTGTTTGTATGGGGGCCCTCTGTGCTTGCTCTGAGTCCACTGCAGGCCTGGTCTCTTCCACTAGAACACAAGCTCCAGGGCAGGCACCTGCCTCTTTCTGCCCATGTTTCCCCTGGAACAGAATGGGAGGTGACAGGTGGCAGCTGACCAGCTTGATTCCATGGAATGTGCCCAGGAGCCACTCTAGGACCACCAGGCTGCCGTCCTTTCTATCTGTGCCCCTTGGGAGGGGCTGACATTTTCTTTATTCTCGTAAAAGCCACCCCATGGAGGCCATGTCCCCTTTGTCAGGCCCTACCTGGTCCCCCGCCTCTGCAGCCTTCCTCTCCTCTTGGTGCCACACCTGGCACCCCACCTCTAGGCCCAGCCTGGCTCCAAACCTCAGTAGGGGAAGGAAATTAAGCCAGCCCCCTCAGCCCATCCCCAAGCCTTGGGGCGGTCACCTGGACAGGAGTCTATCCCTGGCCTCATGGCCAGTTCTGATCACTGGGTGTCTGCCCCGCCTTGATCACCTATCTTTAAGCACCGGGTCCCATGTAATATGGGAGCTCTGTCTTGTTCTTGCAAACCCCCTCTCTACTACACAGAGAGTCCCCAGCCTGGTTTCTGGAGCCCTCCTTCCTGAAGACAGATTTCTCTGGACCCCTGCTGCCTGCCTGGAGTCTTGGATGGCACCTTCCTGCCTACCTTCTTTCTGAGTGCAGCCCCACCTGGAGGCACCCTCGCTTGTCTTATATCCTTGGGCTGTCTCACGCTGTGCCCAAACCCTTGGCCTGTGGTCTTTGTGGCTGCCAGGATAAGCCTGACTTCCTAAGGATGGGTCATCTCCTCACACCTGTCTGACCACAGTGGATGTGCCCGACTTGTGTTGGGAGCCTCTCAGGTTGCCCCACCCCCAGCCTGTTAGAACAAATTAACCATATTCAGCTAAGGCTCAGACACATCTTCAATGATCAGAAGTTCAGCCAACAAACGTTTATTGGATACTTAACAGGCTCCAGGCTCTCAGCTAGGCCCTGGCACAGAGCGGAGTCAGCAGGCACCATCCCTGCCCTCATGGCACGCTCTGTCTGGTTGTCAGTCTCTGGGCCTGCTCTTGCCCAAATACTGAGAATTGGTTCCTCAGTGGTCCCTCAACCATTCTCCCTAATCACTCCTGCTCTACCCCTTCCCATCCCTCCCATCCAGTGAGCTGTCCACAGTCTTAGCCCAGCTCGGCGACAGTGACACAGCTGTGTCAGGGTAGGTGGTGAGGCGTGTTGCTTCCTTAGCTTCTCTTAGTCCTTAAGCCCATGAAACAGAAAAAGAATATGCCTGAATTTCCCTACTATCTGCAAATTCCACAGGAGGGCCCAGCCTGTCATTTTCAGAGACTAGCAGTGCCCAAGGAGGCCCAGGACCCTTTTTCACCCTAGCAACAGGTCATTTCTCACAGCAGAAGTGAGAAGGATCTTTACCAACCACTAGGCTGTAGCTAACACCTTGGCCTCAAAGGCAGCCAGAGTAAACTGGGTAGAGAAATCTCCCAGGCTGCTGCGTCACGAGGCCCAGGCCCCCGCGACGCCCACTTCCGAAGGCACGTCAGTCACTGGACAACTCTGCCACATGGAGCCAAAGGACGGAGTCAAACCCCAGCACTGCAACTTACTAACTATGTGACTTTGGGCAAGTCACTACACATCCATGAGACTCAAAAGGAGATGACTCGAATGAAATGGAATAAATATAAAACACTTTCAGAAACTGTACAGTATGATAGAAATGCCTGTTATAATTGCTATTTTTTTTGTGTGTCTGAGGAAGATTA